GGACACAGATCTGTGATAAGCTTATCACCGGATTGATCAACAGAAACCTTGTTAGCAACTCTGGATAAATTAATTTACAACAATGTTACACTAATGCTGCTTAATATCTGTGCGCAGTCCCATTTCCCCTCTCACACTGCAATTATTGAAACAATTATTTGACCTAATTAAATCCATATTTATGTACCTCTTCTTTTGGTTAATCCTTGGATAAGTCCAAAATAAACTCTATGTTAATACTTTTATATTTATATTTTCAGTGAGTGGTTCTGCATGGGGTAAAAGAGAACTCCTCCATGATTATGTCATTGAATGTACCAGATTTAATTTCACATATTTACTAAGAGTGGACAGGTGGTCAGAAAGGCTGGCCTTCACCCACATGACCCAGGTTGTCAGCCAGCATCTGCTTAAGTGTCATTGAGCAAGACATGGACTCCCCGCCAGGCCGCTATTCTGCAGCCGACTTCACCCTCTGACCCCCCTGTCAGAGGAGGTGGGCCTCCTTGTGGGATCAACATGGGTTGTTGTATTATTAATCTTAAAGTGTAAATTGCTCCTTCATTATTGCACTGCGTACATTGAACCTAGCTTCTGCATTGGTATTATTTACATGCACTGCAAAGAAACTGCAGACAATGTGTTCTTTTATCGTGTCACGTTGCCGGAAACCACTAAAACAATGCAAACCAAACACAAGAAAGAGTGTTGCAGTAAGAACTGAACTGGACTTGAACACCATGATTGACTTGTGACTTCACTTTGACATGAACCTTTTGACTTGAAAATACTTGAAACCTTTTCCTAGACCTAAGAATATAATGCATACATTTGAAAAAAGTGCCACACTACTTGAATCAACTACCATTAACAGTATTAATTCCTATCAAGTCGACACTTAATTACCCAGATCAACTTTATTTTAAACTGTCCGGCAGCATCCAATCAAGTTGGAGGAGAGAACCTTGAAAAAAACGTATAATTTAACTTACTAAGACACTTAACGTTATGTTGGTGAGCGCCATTTGGAAAGAAGCAGAATTCTTATTTATCTTGGGGGAAATTTGGGTTTGTGATAGTTGTTTTTTTTATACAAATAAATATGATTAAAATAGATATATAAACATAAGAAGTAAAAGTTAAATGTCCAATAAAAAATGCAATAAAAAATATTTACAAGACATAAGATGTATACATGTGCACACTGTACTACAATAAAGCATGTATATTTCAATACAAATATTATATTCGCAATGATCCCATGATTATTTTGTCCGTGGACAAAAACTACATGCTGGTCATTTCGGTCTTGGTGAAAAGCCAAATTAATTGGTGGGGTTTCTTTCCTCCACATATCTGAAGAGAACATTAGACACACTGACATTAGCTAAAATTCTCAAACTCAAAACTCAAGAACAGTACAACTTTATAAGATTAGCATACAGCAGCATTAAAGCCAGTATCAACATGTTTTACAGTACTGGAAAATATTGCTGCTGTCAGGTGAAAACCTTGCATCTTCAAAATGTGAGAGCATTGCATTTCATTGACCACCCTTGTGTTTTTTGATATGTTGTTGTGTTCTATAAACCCCAGGGGCCTAATTTATAACGCCGTGCGTAGGATTCACGTGGGAAGGTTGCTTACGTAGTAGAAATAAAAAAAATAGGTACAGACATTTTCCGACATTTTCCGACTCACCAAACATTGCGTACTGGCGAGGAAATTGCGTACAGCACTTCCTACGCTAGTTTCCCTTTATAAATCACAATCGACTCGAAATGCGGTGCAGCTTTTGCGGGCTTCACGTAACGCCCATATTTGCCTATAAATAGTCAAAGAAACGCCCATTCATTCATTTTGACTGACTGCATGAAGAAGATCGCAGGAAATGACGACAGAACAGCTAAAAAAGACATCTCACACCGTGTCAGATTTTGGTTATTTTGGGGAGGTCGAGATAAATCATTGTTTGGTGGATGCAGTTTGAACCAGAGTAGCAGCATGGAGGTCGGATCGTCTCCAAAATAAATAAATAAGTGGTCCGAAAAAGGTTCATGACAAAAACAATACACATAGCCTTCCTCAGGCAGTAGGCTTGTTTGAGACGCGTTGCGGCTCGCCTCGAAAGTAGACGAGAATAGCCGATCGCAGCCGGGGGAGGTCTCAAAAAGCTCGCCTGAAGTCGGACAGCTCGGAGTCGGCTTCGTCTTCTTCTCTCGGTTTTTTGGCGGATTGCAAACAACTTTAAGGTGCATACCGCCACCTCCGGAGTCGGCTTGACTCGGTTTGCATTTATAAAGAATGCACAAATGTGTTTAATCGTTAATGTCAGATATGTACTAAGTAAATACATTTGTTCCTGCTCAAGATTAGATTCAACTTTATTGTTATTGCACATATTACAGGTACTGAGACAACGAAATGCAGTTTAGCTTCTAACCAGGTGCAACAAGCAGTAAAGTGAAAAGTAATGTACACAATAGACAGAATAAAATATAGAATGAATTGAATGATGAATAAACAGTGAGGGGTATGAATACACTAGATATCAGCCTGTGAGCAGTATGAACAGTGTGTATGAATATGCTAAGATATATAAAGTATGAAAACGGTAAGCAGTGCAAGTATAGTATAAAATATATAGATATTAATTTCATGATGATAAACATTGTGGAAAAATGGGAATGGAAGTGGCGACGTAAAACTGATACAAAACAACAACAAACTTTTGCCGAGCCAATTGGAGAGTTTCATCACCAGCACGTGGTAAAAACCACCAATGAGCGCTCAGCTCGAGATACCAGCGAGTCGTTTCCCATCAAGCATTTCGCTTCCGCAGCCCGTGGAGAGGAACTGCGGCTCCTCGCCGCGCCTCGCTCTCAAGGCTGCGGGCGTCTTTGTCCCGCGAGATTTCAACGTCTCATGTAGGCGGGCCTCCAGAGCAAGTCGGACAAAATTACTAACCATCATGCAACGCACTAGCAAGACGTTGATCGCAACTGCGCAGGTCTGCGCAGGTCTCGCTTGTCTCAAACAAGCCTAATGTGTTTGTACCGGGGACAGGAGACACCCCCTTGATGAGAAACTCTAAGAAATGATCGGGGAATCCCTCCGGAGTGGAGTCATGACGACTGGATCTGAATTATTTGTTTGTATTTGGTGGTTTGTGTTCCAGCTTTCGTTCAACACATATATCCATAATCCACCAGTTAAAGGAAATACAATGTGTTGTGTTATATTAGCTGTAGGCGTACAATTTACCACATGGTGTTCTTAGTTTCCATACCTCCTGTGTTTTACGAGCGACTTATCAAGTCTTAGCAAATGGCATAAAACACGATTAAACATAATAGTATATAAAACCATGCTCGTATCTACAACCTATAGAAATGCAAAACGGCGTCAGTTTAGACGTAATTCTGTCCTCCTGCTTACCGCATCATTTATGAGAAAACATTTCATAACATTAACACAACATATTCGAGGTGGTTTTAAATAACATATCCGTAATTATTTATTTCTCCAAGTTATGTTTTTGTGTGCACCGAGGAGTCGCAAACAGGCGTTTGTTTAATCATTTTAAGATTGGCTTTAATCAATGTTTGAAAATGAATTCTTCATATATCATAAATGAGAGGTAACATTTTATTTATGGTATTATTTCCACACATTTCTCTCCATTCTTCCTTCTGCCAACGGTGTCGCAGTTTCTCGTCTCTCCCGTGTTTGTACTTAGTGCGTACGCATGGGTTAGAGTTTGCGTGGAGGACCGCACATTTTCCCGTCAAGTTAGTATTTTATAAATCGCAAACATTGCGTAGAAACTGGCTTACGCCATTTTTTGAGCGTATATCCCTTTATAAATGAGGCCCCTGGGCTGTAGGATTATCTGAACCAGTAAAAGATTCTCCTTCAACAAAGAGACCGTAACTAGAGTTCACCTGACAGCCGTGGGATGAATGATGTGCATGCAGTTGTGCAAAATCCAATAAAAGTGATGTTAAAAGTGTGAAATTATTTAAGCACAGCAAAGAGAAAATTAAATCCCCAAATATTGATAAAACCGAGGAGAATCCTCTTCCTTTAGGCTAAACACTGTGGTTTGGTCCTTTTTTTTAAATGTATAACGCAAGGCACTTTACTGTCCATACTTTTGTCAGTTTGTATTTCCCTTTAGTTTATTTTTAACAAATCTCTTTAAGCTGCATATTAGTTTGCAATAAACAATTATTTCCATTATCGATTTAATCGCAGAATGAAACGTTTTTAAAAAAAATATTTTGGTCTATAAAATGTCATAACAATGTCCATTCTTGTTTCCTTTGTCCAAGGTGATGTCACGTTTGACTTTTTTCTATTAGTCAAATAACCAGAGGTATTCATTTTAATGTTCTATAAAAATAACAGGAATAATGAACAGTGGAATATTTATATTTGAGAGGCTTACAACAACATTGTTTCACATTACTGCATGATAAATAATGTCAACATTTAATTGATTATAATAAATTATATATTTATTTTTAAATATATATTTTGGGTTGAAAGGGGGAGACAGAGGGGATGTCTCACAGCCAATGGTCCCAGGCCAGATTCTAACCTGGTCCTCTGCACGGACACCAAGCCCCAGTACAAGGCCCTTACTTGTAAACAAATATTTGTTCATTAATGTAAAGGACCATCTGTGGTAGTAAGAAATGTCTTGGATAACAATGAATACATGATTGTGTAGATGTGTATGTATAAGAAAGTTAAATATACTATATTTATCGATCAAATCAGTCAAATTTGATTAATATAGCCCAATATCAGAAATGACAAATGTATCTCAGGGTTCTTCACACACTGTACATCATACGACACTCCCTATTCGTAGACCCTTGCAACGGACAGAAAATAACTCCCCAAAAGCAGCCTCTTGTGTGAGCGTTGAGTGTGTCCTGATTATTGACACTCTCCTCTCTCTCTCTCTCTCTCTCTCTCTCTCTCCCACGCAGGCTTACAGCTCCATCCTGGTTGTCATGGTGATTCTGCTCAACATTGGAGTGGCAATTTTGTTTATCCACTTTTTTATTTAAAGACAGCACTGCTTTCGGAGTCAGCCTATCTATGCTACGAACAACTATAAGTTCCTATGAGTATTACGACCAATCTGCTGCCCCTTGGTGTTCCCAGTGAGAGGACTGCAAGCCGAGGGAAGACGAGGGCCGAGGAAGGCTCCAACGATATTTGGACTAAGTTAGTTAACAAGGGGCTAACCTTGGCTAATTTGGTCCAATCGTCTTAAAAAGATGCTCAAGTGCAAAGCCCAAAGAAGCGAAGGAACGAGGGGTAAACCAGGCCAGGTAACGGGACTACAGGGAGATACAAGTAGTCCAGAAACTGGACTTAAGTGGGCTTCAATGGCTCATATTCAGACTCAAACGGGCTGAAGAGTTCCGATCCGAGGCCATGAGAGCTGCAGCTGGCATTACAGCGAGATGTCTGCTTCCACTGTCTGCAGACAGGACTGACCAGACAGACTTTTTCATCTTCAAATCATAGTTTTCAACAGATTTGTAACTTTATTTATTAACAGTTTCTCTCATGTACAATATGTTGATGGATATATTCTTTATTTTGTAACCCTCCACTCCCTCTTTATATAACTCCTGCCTTTTGGTTCCTCTGCCTGCCTGGGAGTTGTTACAGACGGTTCAATACAGGTGTGTGTGGGTGTATGTAAGACTCATGAGTGTTTGCTGCCTGGATACATGGTCAATGACTTTCCATTTCCATACACACACATCCATTGTTTCTACACTTTCCCTGTCATTCATCAGTTCTAATGTCCGTCTTCTGTCCTTTTTTACAGTACGGAAGCCCAGAGGGGCAAATGATAAAAAATGAAATTCTGCAGATCCCTTTAGGAAGTCATCTTAATGGTTTGTTCTGTTAAACAATAGGATAAAAACGTTTTTGCAGGATATTTTTTCTAAACAACTTTTCTTTTTTTTCAAGAGCGTTTTTCTAGGGTTTGTTGTTGTTATACTAATTTTGGTCACATTTTGTGTGAAAGTGAGTGTTTTTGCAACTCTATCAAGCAGGCATGTCCTTGTCCAACAATGTGTGTGGATGTACATGTGTGTGTTGTGTGTTTGTGGTCTCCAAGTAGCTCAGTGGCCTTTCACGCTGTTCATGAACTTTACAAGAGCATCTCATGAAGACACGGCAGCAGCTCATCCACATCTAGCCTACTAGCATCAGCTGACAGCTGTGCCCCCCGTCTCTCCCTCCCACACTCTCCCACCTCCACACACCAGTCAGAGGATGGAGCTTCCTCTGAGTTGGTGTGAGTTCAAGACAGAGCGTGCACAGTCTCCCACTGCTTCTCTCAAAGCATAACCTGAATAAAACACCTTTATACTATACTTGCAAGATGTCTGAAAAAAACAGTCGCCACCTGCCTTGCTTTTGTAGCGCAATTTGATTAAAGTAAGACAATGCATGCATAATGGCCTACTGTAATATCCTAGTTATGTGTTGGATCTGAAAGCTTCAGAAGCACATGCAACATGTTAGGTTTTGATAGGAGCAGTGTCTGGAAAGAAGCTAGGATTAAAAAGTACAGTCAATTACTTTATGGACTTTTATATATCTTTTTCTGGGTTAAATTAAACCTATATGTGGGGATAAGTGATGCTGCCAGCTCCCTAAGGGAACTAGCAGGTATTTTGTAGAATCAAATAGTGGCCAGGATCAAACATCGAGATTTATCGCCACTTTTACTCAACCTTTCTTCCAAAGATCCAAGACTTAATAGACAAGCATACACATCAGTCACAATAGAGTGGTGCAGTTTTGAAGTATTCTTGTATGACGACCTGGAAGTTAGCATCACAACTGCTCCCTCCGCAGAAAGCAATGGGATCTTTCCATTGGATTAAAAAATATCTGGAAAAATAAGCTCAGTGTCAAACACATGGCAAGAGAACCTACACATATTAACACCAATTTTTTTTTTTTAAGTAAATGCAATCGACAGAAGTAAAAAGCTAACATTAGGATATAAATGAAATAGCTACATCATGCATCACAAGCGCTAAGCTAAAGGCGGCTAATGTTTGGAGTAGTGTAATAGTCTTATTAAACCCCTTGTTAGCAACCACTATTTATGAGACAGAAGTTTGGGACATTCACCAGTGGGGTATTTACTGACGTATTTTATGTCGTAGGACAAAAGGTGAATTTCTCTTAAGCTTGTTTTAACCACAGACCTTATTTCAGGCATCTAATATGTTCAAAAAAACGTTGACTAGAGACGAGGGAAGCTGAAGTGGTAAAATGCTAACTAATTTCCAGCTTTTCGGAATGATTTTTTCACCACTATTTGTGTCTTTTTGTAAAGGTTTTTCTGTACGTGAATGTGTGTGTCTTAAAGTAGCAGACCTTACCAGCCTGTTTGTTTGCATGTGTGCAGATGAATGCTCATCGAACTGTGTGAACATGTGTGATCATCCTCTTCTTTACACATGATGGGATGGCTGAACCCGTTGCCATTGGTAACAACTTCCAGGGAGCAGGGAGGTTCGCAGTTGTTTTTCTGTCGGACAGCGTTTCTTAAACTGGAACTCAAACTCAGCTTAAGGCTAATTTCTGGTTTTCCCCCACATTATTACAAGAGTACAATCTAATGTGCCTGCACCCCCCGGGAAGCAGAACAATGTATTTTCATTTCATTTTGGGTCCAGACTGAAACAGGTTCAAGAAGCTCTGCTGTATGCCATCAGCCAGGTGACAATGCCCTGCGTCACCCTGTTAGTCCGCAGCATGCTACAGCATGCCAAGCTCTCTATAGTTTGACTCTTCTTTCTTTCTTTCTTTCTTTCTTTCTGTTCCTGAGAATTACTCTGTTTTGTTTTTGAGTTATGTGGAGAAAATAATGAAAGTGTTTGAAAGAAAAAGTCTCTTGGCTCTCGTGTTTTTAGTCTATCTCAGTCTTTGTGTTGCTGTGTTGTAGTTTTTGTGTGTTGGGAAGCATTCTTGATGCAGAGAGGGAGTGGTACAGGACTGGTTAAGAGACAGGGATATGGTTACTATAGCAACCTTAACTGAATTTTCCTCCGTCAGCGGAGGGGCGGGGGCGGGGCTTACCTCTAGAGACCAATGTTCTCAATGAGAGGATGGAAGGAGGAAGAACCAAGAAAAGAACTAGCCTACTGTGGCTGGGGGGAAACAACAGGTAGGCCTAACACAAGTAGGCCTATGTCTAGTATATTTGTGTTTCATTCACATTTTAAATATTTTCTGTGCTCATCATTTGTGGGGAGGTATGGCCAGGTGTCATGATGGATGCAACACAACATCCATAAGAAACTCTGTCGCAGCATCAGGTTTCAACATGGACATCTGCCGCCATCTTCTGGTCCTAGATGAACTACACAATAAGAGCAACAGAGGGTCAGGCTTGACACAAAGGATGAACTTCGAATATGGTATTCAACTCTAGATATGCAGATCATTATTGCCTGTATCAATATAAATGATTCTGCCTGGGGCTTTTAGTGTATGTTTTTATTTTTTAATTATTTTACTGTAAGGTCATTTTAATACTTTTTAACTTTAACTCATTTTTAAATGCTGAACCTTTACTTGAAAAGTATTTCTACCCTGTGGTATTATTAATTTACTTAAGTCAAAGTTAAGACTGCTTCGTCCATCAGTGGGTGTTTTCTAAAATAAATAATAATATAAGGTGAGCTCCCCTGTCTTATCTGACTTGGCTAAATTCCCTCTAAAAGTTAAAAAGTTAAAAGTAATAGATGATATTGGTGAGAATAATATACCATATATTATATGGAATCAGTCAGTTTAACATGTAATGTATCTGGCAATTTAAAGCCAACGTAATAAAGCTGAGATATGTATGAGCGCATGAGAAAAAGATGTGGAATATAGGGCAGCGGATATCCCTCTAAGCCAATCACAAGAGAGACCTCGCATGCAGACAGTACTCGCAGCCAATCAGAGCAAACATTTCTGCATGATAGGAGGGTCTTGCTGCCAGAGTTGGGTTAATGTTATACACAGCTGTTTTTCCTAGATTTCAAGACTCATGGCAGAATGCAGGGAGCGTAGAACAACTTGTTGCACTAAACTCATTCATGGACTTAAAGTTTAATTTGTGAGTTTTGTGTTTTCTCTGCAGCGGCGTTTCATGAGGTAATGTAGGACGGTAGGCTATAATGTTAATTCCAGTGGCAGCATTAGCTTCAAGCCACGCTAGTTTTGTTTTTAAACTTTAACCTAGCATAGTCTTGCTAGCGGTTTGTCAGCCGACTGCTCCTCGCACAAATTGTGGAAAAACCATGAGGACGGAGGAGCAACTTTACATGGAGGGAGAGCGGGGCGGCTCATGCGTCTCCTTCAATGGGGCGGTGTGTTTTGAAGTGTCTCTGTAGTCCGCTGTCAGGGGGGCAGCGGTCCGACCGGCGGGGAGGGACACGGCGGAGCGACTGCTCCCGGCTGCCGTGCTGAAAACTGAACACAAACCAGACTACTTTGTCTTGATAAGAGGGGATGTACAGAGATTATGGTTTGGAAAGGCCTGCTGCTCGCTCGCCACAAACAAAGGGAATAACGTGCATGTCATTGCTGTGGTTGCAGTGATTGGAAACAAACATACAGTGAACAGTGAGCGACGGAGTCAATAACTTGAAGTTTGACTTATTAGCTCTGACTGTATGGCCACAGAGTAGCGCTGCCCACGCGCGCCAGCGCAACTTCAAACGCACACTGTTCACACGCACGCGCCCTCTTTGTTGTGAAGTTTTCTCTCCATTGAAAGTTTGACTTTTTAATTCCAGTTATTATCTGTTTGAGTGGATGTATGAGTATGGTGGAGAGTCGGAGTTGTGTCCAGAGGGAGGGGGTGTACCGCTGGTTCAGCTCCCTCACATCAGCCGAGAGAGCCGAGTTCCTGTGCGGCCTCCTGGACCTCTGCGTCCCCATCGAGCTCCGCTTCCTCGGCTGCTGTCTGGAGGACTTGGCCCGCAAGGACTACCACTCCCTCCGGGATGCAGAGATCAAAGCCAACAACCCCGCCGACCTCTCGGGCCTTACCAACATCACGGACGAGGTGGTGCGGAGCAAGCTGCTGGTGTCCCTCGCCCTGCTCGGCTCTGACAACAGGGAGGCTGCGGGGGTCCTGTACCGGACCCTGACTCACATAGACTCGGTGATCAATAACTACGGTTTGGCCCTGAACGACGGGAGGACTGAGGAGCAGTTTCTGTTACTGTTCACCATGGCCTCTCACCACCCTGCCTTCAGCTTCCACCGGAAGCAGGTGCTGAGGCAGCAGCTCGGCCACATCCAGGACACCCTGCAGGTGAGAGGGAGGCTTAAAGGGGGGTCACTGGTTTACCTCATCACCAGGAGACCAGCCCAGACTGCTTAAGATCTTTTTGAAAAATAATTGAACCCTATTCAGTCATTTTCAAGAAAAATAAGTGGATTTGTGTTTTAAAATAATATTACTTAATTTAAACACACGTACTATAATTACCTACACATTTAGGAAACGTATACTTTACTTGAGTACTTTTAAGTCACACTTTAAATCAAGTATTCTCTGCAAAATATGTTTTAGGAACTCTCAAAAGACTACATTAGATTGGTTGTTGGATAATTTATTTATTGATTAAATATTTGAATTCACCTCAACAAACTACAACAGGGCTTCACACACATTAATGCTTCTATAACAAAGTAATAAAACAATAAGAAATGAGCCAATCAAATTATGAGTACCTAATTCATTTTAATAGGTCAAGTACATTTGTTTATATTTTTTTTTTACCAGAGTAAAAAACCTTTACTGAAGTAAAATATTTGAGTTCTTCTTCCACCACTGATCATTCATTTAACATTTCATTTAAAGGAATAATCAGATTTAAACTCGTAGTAGTAAAGTAAAACATATTTATTATATCATGCTACAAAACACACCACAAATGCTAAAATTGAATTACTTTCTACATAATATTTAGATTGAAAGGACAAGAAACAGGATTGAATACATACATACTGTACCTTTGTAGTTTGTTCTAGTGAGAAATGTCACTTTCAACATTTAGATAATCCAACATGCAGAATTTCTCTATACTCCTAATCAGATGCCTAAAAGAAAAATCGGTTTAATGATGGATATTCAATCTTTATTTCAGACTCAAGGTCCATATCACATACAAAATGACAAGATACACATCAATAAATAAGATTAAAAAGCTAAACAAATAAAAACAAACAAATATATAAGTACATGGGCACATAGGTGCATAGCAGGTGATAAGTCTAACATGGAGAGTGATGGGAATTCAAGTGAAAAGCAGTGTAGCAGCTACAAACATGTTTATGTATAGTCCTGTGGTTGTGAATGGCATGAAGAAAAAGCAACAACTAATGATATTTCGCCTGAGTGGCACGCAGACCATGTGGTTACCCACTGTCTGATCAAAATGTGACATGTAAGAGCTCATAAAGCAGGGCAGATGCCAATGTGGTGAGCCTGCTGGAGGGTGTTACTCTGCTATAAATCCTCCGCTATCTGACAAGGTGCATGCTTCAGGATATATGTCTCCTATAATTCAGAGCACCGGACGACGTTCAGTGTTATCACCATGTCCGCCCATCCATCAGGCCCCTGGCCACAACCTATGTGTTCACCCTGTCAAAGAAAAAGGAAAAGTAATTTGACCTAATTTCAGGCTTTTCTGAGACCTGGAAGAGCCTATATGTAACAGATGATTACTGACATAGGACCTATAGACTTAAATTACAGGTCAGACTCAGTCAATGACAGACTGCCTGCACATAGACACGCCTCAGTCATGTGTGAGTCAGAGGTTCACACAGGAAATGACATGCTTGTAGGTGAAAGCTGACAGCAGGAGTTTATGATGTCAACACAGCTATTTTTGTGCTGAACTGTCCCTTCAAATTCTTAAAAATATTTACAATTCCATGCTGCTCTGCTCTTACCTGTCACTACACCAAGTTGTGTTACAAGACAGAAAAGGCTTTTTTGTCTCTCGTGATGAAATAAGTAGAGTTATGCAGAAAAACAATAACATTTTACTCTAGCTGTTGGTCAGATTTGGTCTCTTACTGATTACATGTGTTGTTGCAGGTGAGCAGTGCAGGAGGAGGAGAGGCTCAGGAAGCTGCTGGGGATCGAGCTGCCGCGTGTCACCCTCAGCCTCATCACCCCCTCCTCCATCTGACGGCCCCCCTGCCCCCCGCTGCTTCCCCCCTGCCCGATGCCAGCGCTGCCTCCCTCCTGCCCGATGCCAGCGCTGCCTCCCTGCCTCTGTCGGCCTGCCCCCCCTGCCACACACACTGCAGCTGCTGGCACAAGGTAGGAGGGAACACACATGGTTTAGTGGGCTATGTTCATATTTATCAATAAAGCAAGTTTAATGATTCCAAAAAAGAAAAAAAATGTAAATGTTATATAACTTGCCATGAACAATGACAGATTTCTGACTTTCATAACTTCATAACGAACCATAAACGTCAAAATAGCTTGTGGTCCTAGCCACTCACTTTTAGTGTCCCCCAGAAACAGTTTCCGTTGTGTTATGTATGGGCTCAGAACAGTCTCATAATACACACATGCACACAGAAGGATTCACACTTGTATTTCATGATCCGCAAAATGATTCACACTTGTATTTCCGGATCCACACTTGTGTTTTTCAATGCACACACAAATGTGTTCCGTTTCATATACATGTAAATAAAATCCAAATACAGAAAAAAGTTTTACATATGTATTTTTGATCCTCACATATTTGTTTTCCGTTTAAATCTCCTGAACCGGCAAACACAAACCGCTTTCTGTGCACGGATCGCTGTGCATTCGTGTGTGGGTTTTTTGAGACTCCCCTGACGGTCAGCCGATTCGTACTTGTAATTTTTTCTATCTATAGCCAATCAGATGTCTCCTTCATTCTAAGCCAATCACATGAGCGCGCCCCCACGAGGGTATGATTTATTGCGTTCATGACACTTCATATACGCATTTTGCGCTGTCCGGTCAGCTCGCTAAACAGAGGGCGGAGCATCAGGTGATCATGCAGAGCTGCGTGTCTCCGTCAGACTCAGCAGCTGATCTGATCTCTCTCGCGTCCGATTATACTTCACTCGCGTGTATGTCCATATCGATCAGATCCAGCTCTCCTGATCTACCTTTATAGAGAGCACCGATCAAACTATTAAGAGTGAATATCGGCCGATAATGACCGGCGGGGCTCCCCCCGTTGACAGTTCACTGTCTAGCACTGGCTTCGTAGTGCACTGATAGATTAGGCTAAGCTAACCTGTAGCTGCTCCTCCACACTTTATAGAGACATAAATAAAGCAACTGTATTCACCACACAGGAAACACACATTTAAAACGGTTTTGCCGTTTTTGTGTACACAAGCATTCATCAATGGTTCGGAAAGTGGCGCGGTGCCTTAATAATATTAAAGATTGTATTTGCGTACATTTCCTGTTTGGAAAGTGGCACTGTACTGAGAGTGGAGGTGTCCTGACATTGGCGCCTGCAGGCAGGCTCCATGGACCTGTCAGCTCCGGACTGCGCAAAATGCGTACATGAAGTGCTACGTCATGAACGCAATAAATCTACCCTCGTGGGGGCGCGCTCATGTGATTGGCTTAGAATTGAGGAGACATCTGATTGGCTATAGATAGAAAAAATTACAAGTACGAATCGGCTGACCGTCAGGGGAGTCTCAAAAAACCCACACACGAATGCACAGCGATCCGTGCACAGAAAGCGGTTTGTGTTTGCAGGTTCAGGGGATTTAAACGGAAACAAATATGTGACGATCAAAAATACATTATGTAAAACTTTTTTCTGTATTTGGATTTTATTTACATGTATATGAAACGGAACACATTTGTGTGTGCATTGAAAAACACAAGTATGGATCCGGAAATACAAGTTTGAATCCTTTTGCGGATCATGACATACAAGTGTGAATCCTTCTGTGTGCATGTGTGTATTATGAGACTGTTCTGAGCCCATAGTTATGAGCTTCTTTTTTTCCTAATCAGTACTTTTTGTAAAATCTGTGCACGTGTCATCAAATAAATATTTCCAGGAGTTGTCGAGTTGGGTAACGTTTCTAAACGCTGCACATGTGTTGTCAAGTTGACGAGGCTCTGTATTTATCAGAGGTCGGTGTAAGTCCTACATGTGCAAGTCATGAGCAAGTCTCAAGTCTTGACCTACAAGTATCAAGCAAGTCCCAAGTCACTGTGGTGAGAGTCAGTGGCGGATTTAGGATTGTAGGAGATCCGGGGCTTAGCCCAGGAGTCGTTGGGTTGGGGGGGGAGGAGTGCAGGGGTACAGTGCTATTTTTTATAAGTGGGGGGTGGACTGAACATCCTTTAGGGGGGTCGTCGCCTCCTCTCGGTGGGTCCGGGGGTATGCTCCCCCGGGCAGATTTTTTTTAAAATATTGAAGTTGAAAGCATCAATCTGGTGCACTTTGAGAGCAACATTAACCCTACCTTAATAACACCTTAAAGCGGACAAAAGGCACTGGAGAACACTCATTAACACCCTTTAATGAAGCAAACTAATGCCTTAACTCACTCAAATAGTCGTTTACTTATTAAGGTGAAACGAATGTGCGTAGAGTTTTAAAGGATGCGGATAGTCTCACCTTGATTCTGGCGCATTGCTTATCGTTTTATAGATCTATTCTCATCCACCATCTTTGTTTGTGACGTAAAGAGTGTAAGAGTCACGTTTCTGAATCGGACACTCTGAGTGGATGCAGTCACAGCCAATCGGAGTCTGATTCAGAGGGTTGCCTGTCAGTTCTGTTGTTATGTGTACTGAAACGAGAGCCGGTATAATTCCACGCGCGAAAACAAAATAAAAATTGGAATACGTTATTTTAGTGTCTTAAAAGTAGACTGAGGTATGAAGGGTTAACGTTACATTTTAGGATAATTTTTAGTCATGTTCTGTATACATACTAACATATAAGGGTATACTTAGTGTGGTTACTCCATGTTTACTAGCTATAACATTAACGTTACATCACTCTTTTTCACTTCTTACTCAGTCAGCCAGAGTGCAGATATCACCATTAGATTAACAAACCTGAAACATCATCCATTTCTTGACTGCTGGTGATGACATTGTTGTCTGTTGCTGATACTGCTGCTGCTGCAGCTTGTGGCGCCGGCTGCTTCGATGACAATAACTTTCTAATATCCATAACTGTATATGCTATTAGCTTAAAACTCGTCAGGCACTAGGAAGGATCACTTCTTCTTCAGGGCAGGCTACGCAGTACGCAGGCTAATTTCCCACAGTGGCTGCCTCTCTGGTGGACTCCGGTACTGCACATTACTCCCGAGACGTTTTAAAAAATGTTTTAAGTGAAACATCTGGGGCTTTTCAGAAAACATCCGGGGCTTGAGCCCAAGTAGCCACCCCCTAGCGCCGCCACTGGTGAGAGTCAAGCACGTCAATTCAAGTCATTGCTCAGGTCAAGCAAGTCAAGTCAAGTCATACAAAATTCTGATGAATAAGCCCAGTTTCCGCATTTAAATCAGTTAAAAGACAGTGGTTATGAAAATGGATTCCACCCACACTATGATCTTCATTACATACACAGTTAATCATTTGAAATCTAATTTAGACCAATGACAATCATATTAGATTAATATTAACCCTAGAACTGCAGACAATATAGCTAGGACTCAAAAAGTATGTTCAAAAAGGCAGAATTTCAGGTAAGAAAATCATATATGGCATTTGCCATTACACTTATTTCATTTAAATGTCTGTTAACACTAGAACCGCCAACAGCGTCAGCACCTACATATATATCATTTTCAAATCATTTAATTTGTTCCTATTAATAATTTCCTTATAAGTAGGACGATTTCAAACTCAGTTAATTGGGTTCATTTTGAAATTGCTTCAGTTTATCATCATAACAGATCAAAAAGTTCAGATCCATTTTACAATAAATCAAAGAATGATGCACTTCTACAAACAAAAACAACATAATTAAAACATTTAAACAAACTACTAAAAGTAGATGAACTACATTATTCAAAAGTTTACAGTAACTTCTGATAATAACATGGGAAATAAACGAGGCTTCTCTTTTCCTCTCTCTCTCTCCCTCTCCTGACAGCCCGTCAGTATCACGGCCCCTACACACGGCGGCGTGCGTTGCCGCTTCAACGCTTCTGCCCATTCACTTTGAATGGGGTGACGTCACGATTCGCCGAACTTCATTGCGGGAGCAAAGCGTAGCTTTTCTCGCGGTGCTCGCTGCAAAAGTAGAGCAATGTTCTACTTTTGACGCCTCGATGGACGCGTCAGCCAATCAAATCCTGTTTATGCAAATCTGCCAGTACAAGCGCTAGCCAATCAAACCGCGTGTATGCTGGGAGAGCCAGACCGCAGTTCATTTCCTCATATGCCAAAAAATGGAGGAGAAAATAATCGTAGCGGTAGGGAATCACCCGGTGCTTTATGACCAGTCCCTGTTCACCTACCGGGATACAAACCGGAGGAGCCAGGCATGGAGGGAGGTGGCAGAGACAGTGGGTGAAACTGGTAGGTTTTCGCCTGTTTGGGGATTTATATCCAGTGTACTTCGTTTGAATGGACAGCTAGCAGACATAGACAGTATTTAGCCAGCATGGAATGTTGCGTAAAATAGCACCATAGACATTAATGTCATAAATGTTCATCATATAAAGTGTGACATGTAAAACCTTTTATGCAATTGACAGGAGAGATTCATGTGATTGGTTGTTGGTCACGTTGCTCTCGTAAACTCCCCAAGCTCAAGACACGCCCACCGCCAAGCGGCAACGCACACCGCCGTGTGTAGGGGCCGTCAGGGTTAGTAAAAATGAATCCCTTGGCGGTTCTAGTGTTCATTTACCGTTTTGTCTTCTCAATGCTTAATCGATTTGAAACCAAGTCTAACGTAGCTTAAACTTAACGTTGGCTTTCTAGCTAAGACAACACATGCACGTACCTTTCTCCAGAGCCGGCCCGACCCATTAAGCGGCATAAGCGGCCACTTAGGGCCCCGCAGCCACTAACGGCCCGTCCACACAGCGGCTTTAGAAAAAGCTTGTCGGCGGGCGTGTCTGAAGCTCGACCAACAACCAATCACATGAATCTCCCGCCCCTGACACACAAGCAGTGGTTTGATTGGCTAGAGCTTGTACTAGCATATGATTTGATTGGCTGACGCTTCCACCGAAAGCTTCAGAAGCTTCAAAAGTTGAACATTGCTCAACTTTTGCAGCCTGAAACGCCAGGAAAGCTCCGCTCTGCTTCCCACAATGCAGTTCGGCGAA